GGATATAGTATAGCTCAAGTCAAATCCCTCATCAAAAATAAATGTATGTTATATGTACACGAGTAAGCATGAACAATAAGCCATATTGAAGAGGTAAGAGAGTATCCCTTTGGATGCATATGTACATGTACATGTACAACCCTCTACCCCTCTCTCCATCCCCTCTCTCTCCCTCCCTCTCTCTCTCCCTCTCTCTCTCCCTCCCTCCCCCCTCTCTCCCTCCCTCCCTCCCCCTCTTACTCTCATCAGTGTCCATTTGTTTGAGGTCCAGTTCCAGTGGTATCGTCTCTCCGCTAGTATCAATCACAAACTTCTTCACTGCATAGCAGACACTGGACCCAATGATCAGCTGGCCATCATAATCACCGACTGGTAGTTGAGTGTAGTCTGAAGTATAGGTCATCCCATTGGATATTAGATCAATCTGGAGAGAGAGGGAGGGAGGGAGAGGGAGGGAGGGAGGGGGGGAGAGGAAGAGAAAGAGTTAGGATTTATGACTTTTTTTCACGTTCATGTAAATTTGTAGATACAGTGTGTGTGTTCGAAACAGTACTCGCAGAAATAACAACAACAATAATAATAATAATAACAATAATAATAATAATAATAGTTGGATTAACATATTGACAGTTTCATTACACTGTACATACACTAGTGTATACTATAGACTAACAAGTTATCAGTGGATGTTACAGGTACATTGTGATCTGCTTCATGGCTACAAAACCCCCCACATATAAAAACCACCAATACACTGCAATCATGGAATCACTGATATTAAGATACACCAAATATTCCCATTATACAGTAATGGCACATGTACATGTACACAAATACTGTATACATGTATGTCCTATATTTATCTGTCAATTTGTAACTCAGACACACATACACTGTATATGTAATTATTGTTACTAATAGTTTATTATGTAACACATGTACATGTACATGTAATGAACTAATGGTATGTACATGTACATGTACGTACACTGAAGGAGCTCAATAGTGTCACTGTCTTGAAGCTGAGGTTAGTCAGTGGTTTGAAGAGAAACCTGACATTGACAGTTTTTGAAGAGGAGAGAGAGGGAGGGGGAGAAAGAGAAGAAGAACCTTCATCTTCACCTGATTGAGAGAGAGGGGGAGAGAGGGGGGGAGGAGAGAGAGAGGGGGGGAGAGAGAGGGGGAGAGAGAGAGGGGGAGGAGAGAGAGAGAGAGAGAGAGAGAGAGAGAGAGAGAGAGAGAGAGAGAGAGAGAGAGAGAGAGAGAGAGAGAGAGAGAGAGAGAGATTTATTCAAACGTTATATACACATACATGTACATTAATTTCTATCACAAATTTACACCAAAAGTCCCATTACAATGTCCACAACTTATAATTAATAAAGAAATAATTTTGAATTAAGGCAACCACACCCATTCATTAACAAACCAATAATTCCCACCATAGATGCGTGGATACACAATATAATAATCAGATACAACAAGAAAAGGACCCAAATGAGTCTATTTCTTACTGTTCCTGTCCCCTCCCTGACACTTTGACATCAAATGGACCTGCATATTGCCAATCACCGTCTCTCCACATAAATTGCATACTTGTGACGCCATGGTAACAGATTTGAAGTTATGAACCACACACCTACACCAATTATAGGACAAGGGAGACTCAGAAAATGTCCTTATTTTAATTTAAAACTTTAAAAAGTTGTTTATGAGTAGAGGGAAGCCATCTTGAAGTCGTGGAAAGGGGAATTCCCATTCCTGACTCATCATCAATGAATATTATAATTAGATCAAATTACCACGCCCTTCAATTAGCTAGTCGCTAGTCGACGTCCTTTGAATAATTACGCGTAATTAATGATCTAGGCGCCGGTCAAAAAAAAATTAAATTCTTGAAGTATAGGCAATTATTACAATAATTTACTTCATAATTAATTTTAACCATAAACATCAATAGTTTCTTCCCTCTACTGTAAATATTTACCAGAAGTACAAATATTTGTTTTTCCTGTTTTGCTCATTTATCAGTCTAAACAAATTAAAATAAATACAAAGGTTAATGGTAGAAGATTTGTTGTGTCTGTACATAATTTACTACACAAAACCTAACAAGTTAAGTCGACTGATATAAAAGCAGTAAACTGCTGCAATTCAATTCAGCAATTCAAGTTAAAGCAATTTAATTCAAATTCAAGCTACTCTCTGTCCAATTGACTGAGTCCTGCCAGAATTAATCATGAAAGCTCCATTGATGTCTCTTCTGCTTTCTCTTCTTTGCATGATTGCTCTGACTGCAGCAGCAGCAAGGCCATTCAGGCCAAGAGGGAGGTGCCCTAACAATTGGTTTCACATCCAGTTTGTTTCGATTGCTGAAAATGTCGTCCCTGCGTCTGAGACTGCTCCCACTCCAGACTTCT